TAGAACTGAACTAGAACTGAACTAGAACTGAACTAGAACTGAACTAGAACTGAACTAGAACTGAACTAGAACTGAACTAGAACTGAACTAGAACTGAACTAGAACTGAACTAGAACTAACTAGAACTGAACTAGAACTGAACTAGAACTGAACTAGAACTGAACTAGAACTGAACTAGAACTGAACTAGAACTGAACTAGAACTGAACTAGAACTGAACTAGAACTGAATTAGAACTGAACTAGAACTGAACTAGAACTGAACTAGAACTGAACTAGAACTGAACTAGAACTGAACTAGAACTGAACTAGAACTGAACTAGAACTGAACTAGAACTGAACTAGAACTGAACTAGAACTGAACTAGAACTGAACTAGAACTGAACTAGAACTGAACTAGAACTGAACTAGAACTGAATTAGAACTGAACTAGAACTGAACTAGAACTGAACTAGAACTGAACTAGAACTGAACTAGAACTGAACTAGAACTGAACTAGAACTGAACTAGAACTGAACTAGAACTGAACTAGAACTGAACTAGAACTGAACTAGAACTGAACTAGAACTGAACTAGAACTGAACTAGAACAGAACTAGAACTGAACTAAAACTGAACTAGAACTGAACTAGAACTGAACTAGAACTGAACTAGAACTGAACTAGAACTGAACTAGAACTGAACTAGAACTGAACTAGAACTGAACTAGAACTAGAACTGAACTAGAACTGAACTAGAACTGAACTAGAACTGAACTAGAACTGAACTAGAACTGAACTAGAACTGAGTTAGAACTGAACTAGAACTGAACTAGAACTGAAGTAAAACTGAACTAGAACTGAACTAGAACTGAACTAGAACTGAACTAGAACTGAACTAGAACTGAACTAGAACTGAACTAGAACTGAACTAGAACTAAACTAGAACTGAACTAAAACTGAACTAGAACTAAACTAGAACTAAACTAGAACTGAACTAGAAATGAACTAGAACTGAACTAGAACCGAACTAGCAATTTAAATTGCCCTTGGCAATCCTTCTCACACACACACTATAGCTAACAGCTAACAGTCTATTCTAACAAATATTTTCACTTTCTATAGAATTTTAAGTAAATGTTCACATACCTTACTGCTGCTATCTTCAGTAAATGACATGCAATCGCTAAAACCACCACAAACCCCATCGTCACTACTATTACAGCCGGGACTTTGCACCAACATAATACCACTATCTTCGCCATCGCCTATTTCACATTCATTGTCATCCGGTGAAACAACGGAGGCGGAAGTGCTGCAGTTAGAGGGTAGACTAAAGGTAGTCGTACAGCTATTGGTCAAGGTGTTGTAAGTGTTGCTACTCGTGTTATTTGCAAGATTTTCCAAGGAATTAAGTGTAATAAGATTTTCTAAGTCTTGATTTGCGGAGGTAAGCGTTAATAAATCGCTTGTTGCCAAATCATTTACTAAATTGAGGTCGACCGAAGGCATGTTTAGCATACCATTTAAAATTATATAATTTTCTTTACTTTCTTGATTTTCTTCTGCCGCCAACTGATTTGTAATGCTAATAGCATTACTGTTAGTTATCAGAGAATTATTTAAATTTGTAGCACTTATGTTTAACACTAACTCTGCTGCATTGGTAGTATTTGTTATAAAAACTTCACCCGTTAGATTTGAGTTTTCCAGTTCATACAACTTGAAAACTTGTTCCTTATGTTGTTCTTGTAAATGTTGCAAAAATATATCGGATTGTAAACATACACCCGTACAGAATAAACAATTAAAGCCGATATTTTGTATATCCGGTGATATGGTAATTTCTCCACATTTACGAAAAAACACATAATCATCTGGGTGCCAATTTATGGCGGAATCTAATAAGTTAGACATTGTTAAGTTATAAAATATCTTTTACTATTTAATTAGACATTTGGGATTTATTTAAACAAAAACAAAATAAACATTTATAAGTTTAATCTTTTGAATTTAACCGCTTCGTTGTTAGTTGTTCTAATGCCGGCCACTGACTGAATTTGTGTTCAACAATTTATAGTAAATTTTCTTCATCAAACGTTTAAGCTCTTTTTTTATTAATGTTTTGCTGTTGTTGTTCATCGAATGCGTGTCTGTTTGCTTTCTCATTAAATTTTGTTAAAGCATAGAGCGAATGAGTCAGTAAATAATGAATGCATTTATTGTGAGTGTTTGGTCACCTTAATATTGGGTGGGGGAGGGTTTTGTTTGGTTGCCCTACTATAAGGATCGATGGTATGTTAAATTTAAAATAATATACTAGAACTAGAACACTGAACTAGGGCACTGAACTTGAACTGAACTAGAACTGAACTAGAACTGAACTTGAACTGAACTAGAACTGAACTAGAACTGAACTAGAACTGAACTAGAACTGAACTAGAACTGAACTAGAACTGAACTAGAACTGAACTAGAACTGAACTAGAACTGAACTAGAACTGAACTAGAACTGAACTAGAACTGAACTAGAACTGAACTAGAACTGGAACTGAACTAGAACTGAACTGGAACTGAACTAGAACTGAACTAGAACTGAACTAGAACTGAACTAGAACTGAACTAGAACTGAACTAGAACTGAACTAGAACTAGAACTGAACTAGAACTGAACTAGAACTGAACTAAAACTGAACTAGAACTGAACTAGAACTGAAATAGAACTGAACTAGAACTAAACTAGAACTGAACTAGAATTGAACTAGAACTGAACTAGAACTGAACTAGAACTGAACTAGAACTGAACTAGAACTGAACTAGAACTGAACTAGAACTGAACTTGAACTGAACTAGAACTGAACTAGAACTGAACTAGAACTGAACTAGAACTGAACTAGAACTGAACTAGAACTGAACTAGAACTGAACTAGAACTGAACTGAACTGAACTAGAACTGAACTTGAACTGAACTAGAACTGAACTAGAACTGAACTAGAACTGAACTAGAACTGAACTAGAACTGAACTAGAACTGAACTAGAACTGAACTAGAACTGAACTAGAACTGAACTTGAACTGAACTAGAACTGAACTTGAACTGAACTAGAACTAGAACTGAACTAGAACTGAACTAGAACTGAACTAGAACTAGAACTGAACTAGAACTGAACTAGAACTGTAATAGAACTGAACTAGAACTGAACTAGAACTGAACTAGAACTGAACTAGAACTGAACTAGAACTGAACTAGAACTGAACTAGAACTGAACTAGAACTGAACTAGAACTGAACTAGAACTGAACTAGAACTGAACTAGAACTGAACTAGAACTGAACTAGAACTGAACTAGAACTGAACTAGAACTGAACTAGAACTGAACTAGAACTGAACTAGAACTGAACTAGAACTGAACTAGAATTGAACTAGAACTGAACTAGAACTGAACTAGAACTGAACTAGAACTGAACTAGAACTGAACTAGAACTGAACTAGAACTGACCTGAACTGAACTAGAACTGAACTAGAACTGAACTAGAACTGAACTAGAACTGAACTAGAACTGAACTAGAACTAAACTAGAACTGAACTAGAATTGAACTAGAATTGAACTAGAACTGAACTAGAACTGAACTAGAACACAATTAGAACTGAACAAAAACTTTTTTTCAACTCCTTCCCAAAAATGTTCTTGTTGTATATTCTTAGAAATGAAATGATTGCATTCAATTCATATGTACATTGTTACAACAGTTGATGTAAGTTTGTCATGAATATTTGCTGCGAAAAAGGAGTGTGTAAGGTGGAGGACAATGATGATAATGGTACGATTAAGTAATACACATTGCTACATTATTTTTAATGTTAAGGTCAGAAGGATTTTGAAGGTTGTACTTCACAACTCATACACACATTCACACACAACATTGCTGTACGTTTTACAAATAGATAATTGCATTTTTATTGATATTGCATTATTCATGGCATTTAATGACCATTAAAGAAGGTCGTAAACATTGTGTAAATGTGCGAAATTATTTTGTTAAGCATAAGAAAACAGTTGTGTTGAAGTGGTTTGAGAGGAAAGATGGAGTTGACTATGGTGGATTACGTGTAACTTAATTAAAATGCTTGAACCATATTTTTTCCGCCGGAAGTTATATGGTGTAATAAGTTAAGTTTTAAAAGTTCTAGTTCAATTCTAGTTCAGTTCTAGTTCAGTTCTAGTTCAGTTCTAGTTCAGTTCTAGTTCAGTTCTAGTTCAGCTCTAGTTCAGTTCTAGTTCAGTTCTAGTTCAGTTCTAGTTCAGTTCTAGTTCAGTTCTAGTTCTAGTTCTAGTTCTAGTTCAGTTCTAGTTCAGTTCAGTTCTAGTTCTAGTTCAGTTCAGTTCTAGTTCAGTTCTAGTTCAGTTCTAGTTTAGTTCTAGTTCAGTTCTAGTTCAGTTCTAGTTCAGTTCTAGTTCAGTTCTAGTTCAGTTCTAGTTCAGTTCTAGTTCAGTTCTAGTTCAGTTCTAGTTCAGTTCTAGTTCAGTTCTAGTTCAGTTCTAGTTCAGTTCTAGTTCAGTTCTAGTTCAGTTCTAGTTTAGTTCTAGTTCAATTCTAGTTCAGTTCTAAATCGGTTGTAGATCGATACTAGTTTAGTTCTACTTCAGTTTAGTTCTATTTCACTTCTAGTTCTAATGCAGTTCTAGTTCTGTCCTAGTTCAGTTCTAGTTCAGATCTAGTTCTCTCCTAGTTCTATTCTATTTCTGTTCCAATCGGTTCTAGATCGGTACTAGTTATGTTCTATTTCAGTTTAGTTCTATTTCTCTTCTGGTTCTAATTCAGTTCTAGTTCTGTCCTAGTTCTAGTTCAGATCTAGTTCTGTTCTATTTCTGTTCCAATATGTTCTAGTTTTCTATTTTCAAAATTTTCTCAAGGATTATTGTACTCTTTATAGACGTCAACCTGTAATTTGTTTATAAAATGAAACAACTCCGTTATTTACACTACCATAAAATACAACGGCGCCTTAAACAGCTGCTTGCACACTATTGTGATTGATACATAAAGTACTCTGTACAATTTTTTTTCACCAACCAAAACACGCAAATTGCCGTGTAGTTATTTAATAATTTTCGAACAATTTTTCACATAAAAACTATGCAAAACTGTAAACAACTTCTAACACTGGCCATCAAAAGCCAACAACGTACCATCTCCACTACAGCCGCGTTAGAAGGTAAACGTAATTTCCGTAAATTTTTGGTACACAATAAACGCGGCACGCGTGTGGTCAAAGAAGCTCAGCGCACACAACTCAACCCGGCGGTACCCATCGACAAAAGAGGTGTACGTGATACGGGTATGATAGTAAATGGTAAATATGTGGAGATTCCAGAAAAGATTCCCGAGTTAATAGTGCCCAACTTGGACGACTGTAAATTAAAGCCATATGTCTCTTATAAGGCGGCAGATGTCATACAATCGGAATTCACCAGTTTGGATTTGTTTAATGCTGTGTATTCTAAGAAAGTTATACAAGATTTTAAAGAGGGTAAACTTAAGGATGATGGTACGCCGGTAGAGCCCTCAGAAAATGAATTACTAACCGCTGAAGAGGCTTTGCAAAGAGCACGTAAAACCGGCTCGGATATATTTTAAATATTAAGTTTGTTGTTGATTGATTTGAAATAAATTTAAATGATAAAATTACAAAAACTTACCAAATCCCTTAGGAAGTTACTTTCTTTGTGGGACTTGCTTGTAGTTAAATTAATTTTATTTTATTTAATATGTAGTAGGTAGTTAATGAAGTAAAAGTTTAATTATTCCGTCATAAATTTCTGCCGATAAAGAAACAATTTTCGCACCCATTTATCCTGTTTTTGTTCAGCATCGCCCAGAAACTGAAAGAGAAATATATTTTAGTTTTGTTAGCATTTTTATAAAAAATATAGCTTACATTTGGATGAAAAATTTCCTCTTTAGTATTGGCTTCTTTTAATTTATCCAAAGACATGGAAAAAGTTACCGTCTCCGCCTGTAAATCTATAAAAACTTTATCCGAAGGCAAGGTGCTTTTCTCAGGAGCTTCCCGGTCTCGAGTACTAAAGAAAGATCTGGGAACAAATGTATCTTCTTCTATAGTATCTAAAGCTTTTTGCACTTTAAAATCCATTAAATCTATAGCTTTTGTAACAGCCGCTGTTCCGGGAGTGCTGACTGAAGTTTGAGCACTTCTCGAATTGCTTTCTGAACTGGGCGCACGAGTCTTGCTATTACGCGAGCTAGAGTATTTTGATGTACGACTGCTGCGGCTACTGCGACTATCCCGGGAACTGGTGGAAGAAGTAGAAGAGGTGCTTGAACTGCGGCTGCGACGACGATGTTTAGATTTCTTGGAGTGCTTGGATTTTTTCGATTTTGACTTATAATGCCGGGAGGAATAGGAATAATCTCGATCATAATCTCTATCCCTTTCCCTATCATAGTCACGATCGCGTTCCCGCTCTTTGTCACGGCTGCTGCGTTCTCTATCACGATCCCTATCCCGGTCTCTATCACGATAACGTTCAGTATCACGGCTGCGTTCTTTATCGCGTGATTTGGAGCGAGTCTTATGTCTAGAGCGTTGATAGCTAGAGGATCTTTCGGATTCCCTCATTTTTGTGGTGACTTCTACTTAAATTCTTTATTTATTTGTGGTTTTTAGTTTTGCTCTGCATTTTTCCGCAAAAAATAATGTAAACAATCACAATATGATAAACTAAAGCAATTTTTAATCACAATAGTAAAATTTTAAGCTGGCAATACCTTCTAATGACATTTTGTTAAAACAGTGTTGACAACTGTATGAAAACTTGTTTAAAAATGACAAGCAATTATTATTTAATATTTATATTAAATAAATTTTTTTATGAAAAAATATAAAGTTTTTTCCTAATTTTAAGAATAATAATTTTGTTTTTGTGTAATATATTTTTTATTCTTTGGGAAAATTTTGTTTTTCTTTTTGGCGTTTTAATTAAATCGCTTTGAATAAACAAGTCGCAGCAAGCTAACAACACTGTTTGTATATTACAATAGTGAAGCCGGATGGGATGAAATATCCCCCTTTTTTAAAGGATTTTTGATTTTTCTGTTCATAGTGAAGAAATATCTATAATAAAGAATGGGTATAACCATAAGGAAAACAGCTATTTATTGTTAAAACAACTTAAAAAAATTAGTTAATTAAGTAAATAATTTAATATGTTTAACATATTTTACTTTTATTTCCATACAGAAAATAACTTATTATGGTATTTTTGTATTTTTCTCGTAAACCTAGGAATTTCCTTAAATATCCATCTGGCATCTCTTTGATAATTACGCCGCCATTTTTACTTTAGTGTGTATTTTGTGAAAAAAAGACGCGTTGCCTGAAAAATTGTGTGAAAATTGTAAAAAATCATTTGAAAAATTAAAAATTTATTGCATTATTCCAGCATTTATATGTTCGGCTAAAGTTTAAACATGAAAATCTCTAAAACTGACATAACTTTAGATTTAGATTGTCTAATCGAGGAATTATCACCGGCTCAGTTGGGTGCTTATGAAAGAGTTGCCAACGAGCATAATGCCATTAAAAATGCTCTGAAGACGGCCCTTAATGCCAATGATGGCAAGGAACTTTTTAATGGCCAGGTCTTTCAGGCCTATTCGTTTAAGGGTAAAGTGTTGCAGGAATTGAAAGAGGCCACTTTGCCGCCAAAGAAAACACCCAAAACTGATGAGGCCAATTCTAAGGGAGGTAGTCGTTCGGGCCGTAAAAGGGCTCCCAATTTTGTGTATTTGGAAACTTCCGATGAGGAAGATGATGATGTACCATTGGCTAAGAGAATTGCGGTGGCGGCGGGTAAAAATATAAAATCTGATGGCTCAACTCCATCTAAGGGTAAGAAGGGTGCGGCTGATGTTAAAGATTCTACTCTAGCGGGAAAAGGCAAATCTTCCAAAGACTCTAAGAAGGGTGTTAAGGGCGCAGAATCTCCTCCGGCACCCAATTTCCGTCCTTCGGAAGACTCGGCGGTGGGCGGTTTGATTATTGGTTCCGATGGCAAGGATGGCAAAAATGCCAAGGAGAATAAGGAGACGAAACTGCAGGGTAAAACCTTTCCCTCTTTGGTGGTTTTGGCTAAACCTTGGCTTAAGGTCAAAGATATGTCGGCTACACGTAATAAGTTGGATTCTAAGGTCAAGCTGGTGCTGATGCTGACACCCAATAAATTTACTGAATGGTTGATACAGGAGGGTTTACTCAAGGCTGAGCAGAAATGTGCCAATCATAAGACTAATGATTTGAAATTGGGTAAGTAGAAAGGGAGGAACGAAACGGTGAAAAAATAGGAACGTATAGTGTGTTTAGGGATATTTTTGCCTGGATGCAGAAATTTTGAAATCAAGTCTTATTGAAATCATTATTCCAAAATCTTTCTTAAAATCCAAAACTTAATTCATTTTCATTTTTTTAATCCCACTAACAGGTGTTTATTCCGATGCCTCTAAATTCCCCTATACCGGTGGCTATGTCTGGATTAGTGAATGCTGTCCCACACGTTTTGTTTCCGTTTTTCATGGCTCGATTTTCGAGGGAGCCCCTCATCCTCCCTCTTGCATACTCAAGCTAATTTATCATTGGGCCTGTCAAACCAACATACAAAATGTTGTGCAATGGGTCAAGGTGGATAATGTCTATATTAAAGGTGTTTACACTTGGCTAAGAGCCATCTGTACCTTGGCCGTTCATCAGAAATGCAAAAAACTTGGTGGTCCTGAGAAGTATGTGGAAGTAGGTGTCATTTCCTTTGGCACCACCTCCCAAGATGGTCAACAACGTCAGCTAAAGGTAGAAGTATTGGGTGTTTTAGATTATGCTGAAAAAACTATACGTCTAAGAGCGGTAGAACCTTTATCAGATTCAGATCGTAATTATAAAAAACGTTTCCAAGTTATATTGGAACCCCTTAAACGTTGGGTCTCACAGGATAGTACTATTTGTATTGATTTGACGGTGGACAAAATGACTTTATATTCGATGGGCTTTAAGAATGTGGTACAAGCTGCTGCCACCGATAGTTCAGCTAAACATACTAACTCAGCTGTTATGGATTACTTAAGACGTATTGTACCCAGAATGTTCCAAAACACTTTGTCATTGCTATCACGTCAAATGATACAACAATTTTTGGATGAATTGGTTTGGCGTGAACAGTTTGGCACATATGCTTTACAGGCTTTTAATAATATTACCGCTCATATAGCCGAACAGACTAGGATCAATTGCAATGAGTCATTGACGCAAAGGCTATATCATGTAAGTTTTGAAAAGTATACAAGTTTGCGATAAATAATCATATTAATATATTTTCTTTTGTTTTAGGTGGCCACTAATCCTTTTAAAGACTGGAGTATTTTGCCTGCTAATGCCAAGGAAATACCAGCAAATACTACTCCTAAAAGATTGAAAAAACGTTAGTAATTTTCATAATCATAAGACATTTTTTAACACAAAACAGGGCAACAGTGATTTTGCATAATCCAAAACACAATATGAAATGTTTTGAAAACCTTTATAAGAGGCTTGGTTTTTAAAACACATATAATCTTCACGTTCATCGTTTCAAGTTATTTGAAAAGTTGTCTGTATTATTTCTATTCCAAAACTTGTGCATACGTTTTACTAAACAGGTTTTAGAAAGATTCAAAAGTGAACGAGTTTCCAATAGTAAATAGTGATTAAGTTGCACGTACTATTTCTATTCTAAAACTAAACATCAACGGATTCAACATTGATCTAAAACAATAACAAACATCAATGATTAATAAGTGTAGCACTGAAAAAGTTCCGAAATTTCGATCTAACTCATTATATGAGCGTTTTAATAAATTCCATATTCCATTTTCTTCAAATTTGTGAGTTAAATAGATGATGTGATACTAATATGTGATAAAAGAATAGTGCTGATGTCGAGCTTTAGCAGCCTTCGAAAAGTATCTTCGTCAAGTATCTTAAAAAATAACTTTTTCTGTATTCAAAAAAGACATTACCATCATATTCTGCCCAGGTTTGTCTTGAAATCAAGCCTAGTCTACTCTTTAGTCTAGTCTATAGTCTAGACTATAGTCCACTCTACACTCTAATCTATAATTTAGTTTATAGTCTAGTATATAATCTACTCCATAGTCTAGTCTATAATCTAGTCTGCAATCTTGTCCAGTCTATAATCTAGTCTATAGTCTAGTCCATAGTCTAGTCTATAGTCTAGTCTATAGTCTAGTCTATAGTCTAGTCTATAGTCTAGTCTATAGTCTAGTCTATAGTCTAGTCTATAGTCTAGTCTATAGTCTAGTCTATAGTCTAGTCTATAGTCTAATCTATAGTCTAGTCTATAGTCTAGTCTATAGTCTAGTCTATAGTCTAGTCTATAGTCTAGTCTATAGGCTAGTCTATAGTCTTAAAAATGTTCCAAACACTTTATAGACTAGTCTATAGGCTAGTCTATAGTCTAGTCTATAGGCTAGTCTATAGTCTAGTCTATAGGCTAGTCTATAGTCTAGTCTATAGGCTAGTCTATAGTCTAGTCTATAGGCTAGTCTATAGTCTAGTCTATAGGCTAGTCTATAGTCTAGTCTATAGTCTGGTCTATAGGCTAGTCTAGTCCAGTAGGGTCTAGTCTATAGGCTAGTCTATAGTCTAGT